CAAGTTACCAAGAGCAATGGCTGCCAAGTTAGCCAGGAAAACGGAGTTTCAATATACGGGGGTATATTTGACCAAGAGCTTTAGCTGCTTATTCGCTTTGCACTAGGACCCAACTCAAACTGCCTGTTCAAGTTACCAAGAGCACAGTCCTGCACCTGTGATCAGTCACTGCAGTTGTCTGGCTGCAGCAGGACTCAGTTGACATACAGACTCATCTGTCACCAGAGAACAACAACTGCTGCAGCCGATACACGTCCAACTATGATAGGGAGTGTTTGGGTATCTTTATTGAGAAGACCCACTGTGCATATGCACCCAAGGCTTAGCCTGTTTTCAAGCACTGAAGAAGAGAGCATGAGAAAAATAGGAAAATTTTCAAAGCATTTTAATTATGATACTTGTATAAACCTGGAGAATTTAAGTAATTCTTGATAGCTATCCTATAGATATATATATAAATATCCGCCTAAAAACTGTTAGAAAATTAAAATAAATGGTCTGCAGCAAGTAACACAGCTGTTATTACATTTAGGGTCTTTCAATGTTTTTACTGTGCTGACATCTTTCAATAAAAAACCGGGGACCTGAGAACAAATCTGTCATTGAAAACTGAGATGAGAAAAATCACCATCAATTACAAATTTGTGATAATAATTCATAAAATTCAAAATATTTTATAAAATAGAATTTTCATATTTCAGACCTTCAATTTTTATTTCCTGGAAGTATACTCATCTGACTGAAGTATAAGTAGGAACAATCAAAAATCCATGGACAGTATAAGTGGAGTATTCATTCTTTGACAACTGCATGATACCTGAAAAAACAGCATTCCTTCAAACATGCGTGTCATAAAAAAATCAGTAGTGTATAAGTTTAAAATTGTATTAAATGAGCCTCATAACTCCTGCAATGCTGAATTTTTGGTTAATACGAATTACAGCAATTTGACCTTTCTTGAGGCTTTCAAATTTACCATACATTTGGGAAATCAGCCTCTTTTGCCCACAAACAAATAGTCAAGGCAAAATATATTCTGATATTGTAAAGTAAAAGCAACTAGCTTCAAATAAAATTATGTCAACATTGTCCCTATGTATAGACTGCTGGGACCAGGAGAGCATTTTTCAACAAAAATGTGCCATGAGATTTGTTGTAATTAAATTTTATTTCATAAGAGTAGGAAGAAAATAACTTAAAAATAACCCATGCAATGCAATTCTTGGACTGCTTGTTCAATTCACATGGACCATTACATGGATTTATTCATTTGTCATTGGCAACCAGGTTAATTGAGGAAATAGTTGAGAAGGGAACGGTGAGCAGAACACAGCAGCAACATCACCTCACAGTTCCTTACATCACTTATAGAAAAGTTCCATCTCAAATGAAGTGAAACTAAAGGCACAAAAATTGAACAAAATATTGAACAAGATTACCTAATTGCTATTAGGAAACCTGAGCATCAAATCTGCTTGCTAAAACGCAATCAAGAATCATGTACTTTCCATGTCTTATTGATCATGGCTTCTAGTCATGGCTGGAGTTCTGGACACATGTTACAGAGGGTATTAAAATAGTGTACAACAATTTAAATAAAATTGAAATTATTTGCTTCACCCATATTAAGTCTCCTATGTTTTACATAATTGTTGAAAGAAAATTGCAACTTCAGTAATTTATGTAAAATTTCAGAAAATGCATGCTGTATGTACTGTAATAAACTCTGACCTGTCAAGGGTGGAATTAGTGGATTGTCACACGTTTTGTGCAGTTTAAACATTTGGTAGTGCAGTCATGATATTGAATGAATAAAATATAACACTTTCTGCCTGCCCTGATAATGTTGATGTGTTCTGCTAGGCTTGGTTGCGCCCAGAGGACCAGTCATTATTTCACAATCCTGTTGCCAATAAAAGGAGGGAAAATACTGTACTACCTTGCGTTGGAAGTAAAGTCCGTTGTCGAAAAACTACAACAAATACTCGAAAGCTTGCTCCGTCATCAGAAAATATCACAAACAATTGTTTCCCCCAAAAAAATGCGGACCGAAGAAATTTCAGAAGCACACTGATATCCTTGTAAGACATTAACTCCGCAGAAATATTACGAATTCTGCGCAAGGAAAAACCACTGCCAACAACTTCTAGAAGTAGCAATTTAGAATGTAATTATAACGCTTTGACTTCATACTCGATGTAGTGACAAAATATTCTGATGAAAGAATTACATCGAAGAATACATTATGTTGCTTGTTATGTAGGCGCTGTTTCCAGTCGATCAACAATTCGGTCGAAAAAAAATGCAGTTCTCCTGGGATTCATTTTTTCCATTATTGACCAAGCAAAAATAATCCTCTAAAGAGCCCCACAAAAGGATAAAAAAGGGGGGTGGAAATCAGAAGATGCAAAACAATTTCCGATTGCCCTGATGCGAAAATCTTCATCAAACTGAAATAAGTTCACTCACTGATGTCGTGCAGCTTCCCGTGGATGGTTAGCTGGAGCATTCAGAGGACGACAAAACAGCTAAGAAAAAAGTCCATTATCTAATTCCTGGGAACCATCTTCAAACGCAGTGCCTGACACTCATCTTCAAGTTCCTTATTTTTCTTCTCTAGCGTGACGCACCACGCCCTACATTCAACAAGAAAAGCGTAAATTTCCAATGCATCATCTAAATATTTTAAATAAAACTGTCGAACTTTTCATAATGATGGTACAGTAATTGATACTCGGATCTAGATTTAGAATTTTCATCCGATCCGGGTTATTGACCAAAGAATTTCCACAAACCGAAGAATTTGAAACCTACATCCAGGCCTTGAGGTCAGCCTTTTCTTCATTTTGTTGCACAGCTCCCGAGACTGCCTGGCCCCCGGGCAGTAGAAACTCGACCAGAACTACGCCGAGTAGAGCAGTCATCAGTTTCGACCAACAAACGCTGCGAAGTTCTTCCGGATAATCGGGTCATGCACTGTGGACATGTCCCTGCTAGTCGCCTGGAACAGCATTACAACATTTTTCACAAAAGCCGTCAAAGCCAGAAAATGAAACAATTCGCAAAAAATATATGAATAACTTCGCCAACAGAACGCCGAAACATTGAAAATCGAGAAATGGATAGGACAGTACATGTAATTGAATGGATTAATTTAAGTCCGGGACTCCGGGTAGGTTCCTTCATAAAAAAATAAAAATTACATTGATGTTCAGGCAAGACTTTCCTAAAAATAACTGGAATACAGGATGACTCTCTACTTGTTTAATATTGTCTAACAAGTTCTCATTCGCTGAAGGATTTTTGTTGGGTCCCAAAGAATTCCCATCACAGCGATCTTTTTTCTGGTCCCCTCAATTTTGTTGCAGGAAGAGTTCATCTCTACTGTTCATTAAATTAAAATTCCAGGAAGACGGAGACTGCTTTCAACAGTCTCCAAATACGCACGGTGATAAGATTTTCTCAGCAAATTTCTTTTTCTGGTTCCTTGAATTTCGTTACAGAGAGAAGTCAACTGTGCAATACTCAAAATAAAATAAAAATCAGCGTTCATAGGATGTAAATTCACTTTTCTGGACCAATATGTGTCAATAATGCAGTCCTCGCTCAACGCCGAATACTGTATACATCAAGTTATGAAGGACCCAAATTGAATAAGGACTCACTCTTGAAGCCATCGCATGATGCAGTCCATCAAATGGAACACATGTCGGCATCCAACGGCACACACCGGACGTTTACCCGTGTCGCGCAATCCTAGAGTCAATGAGTCATAGCACACAGCACAGATCACAGCCATTATTAACGTCCGAAAATCAACTGGAAAAATTCTGAAACGTATGAGTCTAAATAAGCTGAAGTGAACCACAATTACAAATTTCACGCAGTGATTAGAAACCAAAAAATTAATCGATTATAAAATTATAACACTGAAAAAAATACACTAGTTCACCCATTAACTGACTGAATTCGGCCCACCAAAAGCAGGCCTGGGCACAGACGGAAGGGGATATTATGGTTTTTGATACTCTTTAATTCTGACAGTCTCCGTTAGGAGTGATCCAGACGCTGTCCGGCCATGAGTAAGGATTTCTGGGCTGCATAACTAGAGCCTTCATGTGGCTGTCCCGTGGATACTTGTATCAAGTAATTTATGCGCTTTGTTAACTCTGTTTTCACACTGCTCAGGTTATTCAAGAACTGCGTATTTTGCTGGTCGACCTGCTTCTGGCTCGGCTTGTCCTTGGTGATTTCCGCCAACGCATGAGATGCTGAAGAGAGGACTTGCGCTATGTCTTTTTCAATCTCATCAAGAACTTTCAGACGTTCCAACGGCATGGAAGCCATTCCCACCAGCTTTGATCAAAACCGCTCTGCAAAAAAATTTCAGGGAAATATCTTGAAATAATTGCACAGTACAGTTGCGAAGATTCTACTTCGTTCACTCATGGCTTCACAGAACTATATAGTACTATACAATACTAATACTGCTCTCTAGCGCAGACTACCTCGAATTTCCCTTCGAAAGCCGAAAAAATCTCTTCTACGCAACGCATAGAAGAAACTATAATCCCGCCGAATAACCAAAAATTTAAGCATAACGAACCTGCGACGTACTTTTTCAACTGATCTATGCTAGCTGATACGTTCACCTTGTGTAATAATCACAGCATCCAAGTAACGCCGAATTAGACAAACTAAAACCGGAGTTCTTATACCAGATTAAAAAAGACTTAAATCGGCAAACCCTCACAAAAACTTGAAATCTCTCGTCTCAAAAATAATATAAGATGAATAATTGACTAAAAGGGCTTCCACTACAGTTCAATGCAGCTCATGAAAAATGAAGGAAGCATAAAACAAAAAAGGAAACTCACTCTAACTCCAGGACAAGAAACACTGTTGAATCACTCCCACTTTCATTCGTGCCTGCTTCAAAAAACGCGACAAGGTAAGACAGAAGCCACGTAGTTTCCAACAGAAAAGAGTCGATACGATCTTCCCTCACTTTTTTTTCTTTTTATTACACTTTCCAAGTTTTTAGATTTTTTTATCTGTTTTCTTGAATTTTTTTTATGCTTTCAATTTTTTTCACGCATGCGTCTAAGCCACGAAAGTATGCGAGGACTCATTGGAATGCACCTTACAAACGAATCCAACACTCATATATATAAAAAAAGAAAAGCACTTCGGCATCGTCTCGATTTCAACATTTCCAACAATCCGCCGAAGGATATAGAGACGCGTTAAACTCGTCACCGCTCGACCTTTAAGAGGATGTGAATAACACGAGATTGGAACTATAGCGGAGCGAGATCTTCGCACAGTCAAGGATCGACTTCGCATCATGCAGCACCTCCATTGAGAGCCATACGCAAAAAGAAATTAAGAATTGCTTAAAACCATCGTCAGTGCGGTCAATCTAACCAAAATGGCAAAATCAGTGTCCGCTTCGGCATAGCGGGGATGTTGAAAACAAATTTCTCAGCTTGCGCCGATCCCGCTCCGGCGCTTTGCCCCTAGGAAAAATAGAAGGAAGACGAACTTATTCTCACATTAGTCAAACCATCTACGCCACTGTGAATCCACCACCACTCGGTAATTCGATTAGAATCACAATTACTACGGCTAATGCTTTGGAATTTACTTCACAATTACAACCAATTATTGAAACGGTAGACTGAACATGAGGACGCCACATATACAATGCATCAGTTTACTTTTTCAAGTCCCACTTTTTAGAACAGTAATGATTTTCACAGTACGTATTTAAATCAAGTATAATAGAGACCAAAACATGCACACGCATGCATGAATTTAAAAAACGGTACCAGTTAATTGGAACTATAGGGGCAGACTATTCAAACTATAGTTCACAGTTGGAAGAGACTTAGAAGGCCAATCTCTAATTTTGCGACGAAAATAAACACGCTAGGAACGCATGGAAACATTTCGTCAGTACACTTCCATCTCAGATAACAGAACGTTAAACTGACTAAACATAACAAGGTGCGAAACAATCAAGAGTTATTTGTGAGTTCACAATGGAGGAAGCCGCGCTTCCGAGTGAAACTGTCACCGAGCACGAACACAGATCCGGTAAAACCCGCAACTTTTACAGCCCAACCGAACACACTGCACCATTGGTTCAAACAATCACTTTCCCAATATCTCCGCCCCCGAACACCCAAGTTGAAGAAACGCATTAATGTCGGCATAGTTCAACACGAAACAATCCCGCCTTCACAGATCGAACCTTGGGAACGGCAACTCGTGGTTTCTTCACACCGCGGGTTCAGGAAACACATCACCCGAGCCTTTTCCGAGATATTTAAAACCGGAGTTACCCGGTCGGGAAAATTCATGCCCGCAGATCCATCAGACTGCGAAGGAATGATAAGACCCTTGAAAAATCGTCCAAAATTGACGAAAATCGCTCAAGATTATAAAACTAAGTACGAGGAATTCAACTTCACGAATAGCACAAAAAATATTTTTCGTATGGACTCGATTAGAAAGATTTCGACGGCAGAAACATTAGGTGCCTATATAGTTCTCCTTTTCAACAATCGGAACGCCCTAGCTCATACGAAAGTATTCACAGAAAAATGAACAGTTCCTCAAAAGCTATACTTTCTTTTGAGCTATCAACTTCGCATGAAAGGGGCTCGACAACGTCGTTCTGCTGGAAACCGAAAAGTAATTGAATCCCAACTCACCAAGAGGTGCTCCGGGTGGAACTTCGTCGGTATCAAGCTCGTTGTGGTTTTCGTTTTAAAACAATCAAGTGTGTCAAAGACTGTATCTGAGCTGACGTTTAAACGTTAAGTTCACCTGTGCACGAAATAATTTTGTTGAGGAGAACTTCTATAATGTGATAAGATGAGATCTCTGTGGGAGGAAAAAGAATTCGTTTACCGAAAAAATCGTTGTAGACAAGATCTGGTTCCTTGAAGTTTTTTGCAGAAAGTCCACCGGTATTCAAAAATTGTAACGAAGGTCTTCTAATAGATCCAGGAACATTCAGTGCCAATAGTCAAATAATGGGTGAGCTAAAAAAATGAGAACTGTTCAATTTATCGTAACATTTTCAAGGACTTCACAATAGGAATACGGTTCGACACATCCATGATATGTGCTTATGCAAGGTCGTAACTCTTGCAATACAGGAAGCTACAGCAAGCTTATATATATGCAAGAGTGAAATTTTTCATAGTTGCTTAGAACAGTATATTATAAGCTGGGCATTACACGGTTCGATAAGCTCAATAATCATTTTGAGTGCGAACTCGCTCTTTTTGCGAAGTGTCACCACTATAATGATGAGGATATTTTCAATTCTTAAAATCGCATGAAAATTGGTACCTTGAAACTTGACGACCGAACGAAACGCTATACGGCTTAATTATGAATACCCTAAATTCACGAATGAACAAGCGGCAGATTATCATTACGAAAATAATCTAAAGCGAACTGCCCTGATCTCATACCGTAACCAGCATTAAAAAAGGTCCAATTGAAGATCAGAACAAAAAAATGAGAAGTACCCACGTTTTGCCCATATAGTCGTACAGCTCATCTATAAGCGTGACCCGAAAACGGTCCTGGTAAGGATCGACTCTGAGGATTTCGTCGGTAACACGTAACGACACCCGTTCCATCAGCTTCGCAAGCATTTCGGGTCGGACGTGGTGCGACGTGAAAAGAATGGTCTAAATTACTCTAAATTCTGCCGAAGTCCGAAACATGTGGTATTCATGAACCAATAAATTAACCCGAAACTGTCCTCAGTGCATCAATACACACCAGATTGTCCCGAACTTGGGCCGCGATTGGTAGTTTTGTGAACACGAGATCCAATTCAATGCCACCCAGCTTCAGTTTCAATACTGGCACATAAACGTCTTCGATCGGCTAAAACGTGACAACATGAATAATTAGCAGTTGAAACACGAATTATGCAAAACCATACGATCAAACGCGAACGATTACGTCCGCGGAGATTGCAAACACATATTGATCCAGAAATCACCTTTCTCGAAGGTTTTTCACTTGAATTATCAAATAACTGAAATGATCCAGCACATCTTATAATAATTTGACATTCCGTTCTCCCGCGGGTTGGTGTATACGCCTCAAACAGAAGGTGCGAAAATTAAATCCAAAGCAATTAAATCAAGGAACCTTTTTGAGAAGCAATGTTTCCCCACTTCTGCCCATCGGAAGACAAAGGAAATCGGAAGACAAACATCCCCATGCTGAAGGACTTGTGCAAGACTTTCCCTTGGGGTTTATTTTTACGATGAGACATTCTTTCGGGGAAACGAGTAATTCACACCACGAAAACCGTGCGCGCACTATAGAGAAGCCATTCGATAACAAGACAAATATTTTCCTACGCTCTCCTGAAAAATTTTCTGCACGACGAATACTGTAGTGGAAAACAACCTCCCATGGCATACAACTTCACCAACAGGAACTCCGGTCTTCTATTCATGCTTCATAAGTATCTTCTTCATTGCATAAAATTACTCCTGCAGGATAATAATTATATACACTTTAAACCGAAGATGAGTCGCGGGCATTCGTTAAAGTAATGAAATGCACAGTATTCGAAAGACCGATTTCTTAAGAACCACCAAAACGGACATGAAATCCAACAAGGCTTTCACCATAAATTAGCATACTGTAAGATCAACAATTCTATTTTTAACCCTTGAAAAATTTCCAGTATGTTGCGAAATTTATGAGAATTTATGGCTGTAATAGAAAATGCTTCACTTTTCATTTTTCAGTGCCTTGAAAAAAGGTGGAAAACTGAAAAATGGCAAATGCATAGGACATTATGGAATCGAAATTTGTTTATAAGAACGACGCCAGGAATAGTTCAATACGCGCGGAAGAGGGGCAATCCTCGCACTTATGAGTTACTTACACTAGAAGTGAAACACATTAAGTCAGCTAATCAAAGCATTCTTGCATAACCCTCTTTAAAAAAAGAAAATTGTTCTTTCACGAGAGACTCACCCTGATATCAGATACACCCGACGTGACTCGGAGGAATTCGACGAAGCTAGTCAAGAAATCGGAGCGCTCAACGTGGCGCGGGGCGACACACTGATGAGCATCTATAGCAGAGGAGAGAGAGTGTTGGGTGCCAGGCGTGAGGGGATGGGGGGCACAGGGGTGAGGAGTTCTGACCGGGTGCGATCCTGCTCCGGCAAGAAGGGGCCTCACCAAGCAATGGAAATGCCAACAAAGAAAGCATGATTCAACCAGGGAAATGTACACCAACTATCATGTATAGGAGTGATAATTTGCGAGGAAACAAAGAAGAATGAAAGACAAAAAATGTATGGAGAAGTGTTAACCTGGCATGAATTTTGCATGGTCCTTCCCAACACCGTTGGGGAAAAAGGAGAAAAGTAACCAGCATGGTGAGATATGAACTTCATCATCAATCGATTCGAAATGAGATATTGCGCTGTACTGTACGGTACTCTACTGTACAGTAATTATAAATGCAATGCGCAAGCAGTATATTTGCTACTGTACGTATTTATCCAGTATACCAGCTTGCGCAAAAGGGCCGTTTGACGACCAACATCCATCTTTGCGCTCCCCTCCAGCAACTTGTCCGCCTTGGCACAGATGTCGTTAGAGGGTGCCCGTCCACGGCCGTCGCATCTTGGATCGAGCAGCTCGTCCGGCAGAGACAACAGTATCTGTCTTTCTCTTGTGAAAGGAAGGAAAACAAATTGTTGTGCCCAGAGTGGAAATAACGGACAGGTGTTTGGTTTAAGACAGTCTCTTTACATCATAAGCCGAAGCATTTGGCTGTATACAGGAGTATTATTGAATGCAGAATATTCTTGTAAACAAAATCATTGTAGAGATAGTCCGCCTCATCAGCTGTGTATATTGCAATATCTTCAACAGTGTCCCAATCGTTGCTGCAAGAATCAAGTATACTGGAATATTCTGATAATTCTTATATCCCCGTTCTCCATCGTCATTATCCATGTATCTCCAAGAAGGAAAGAATGTAATAAAACCAAACACACTGAACACAGGATTTTTTCCACAACGCCAGCTTCTTGCTCTCAATCCATTTATTATATTTTCTCTTGATAAAACGTCCAGCGTGCAAAAAATATAGGGTTTTGCTCAGTCAATCCAGAAGGAGCAACAGCAGCAGCCGTAAGAATATTTTCACTCTCCACCTGGCTCTTATGGCATCCAATGTATGTGCACAAGTTTTCTTTTCTGACAATTTTATGTAAAATGCACACACATACAGGGTATATACCCACACATCATACTGTATATGCAGCAGCACCACCGTTTCCTCATCAGCATTAGCCATTCGTCCGTCTCATCACGCACCTCGTCTCTCTTTCCTTATTGTTAGTGAAACTCTCAATCATGACATTTTCTTATCTTCTCCCGCAGATTTTTGAAAAACGAAAGGAAGAAAAAAAAAAACGGACGATGGCGTCATATGTATATGGTCATGTAAATATAGGGCGTGAAAGAATATTATAACTGGCATATATACAACCTGCGCTCAAGGTATATGTTCACATGCAGTACAGTATATACATGCTGTATGCACGCGCGGATATGCTGCAAGTGGGATGCATGGGAAGCAGCCATTATATTTATACGCGCTGCTGCTGCGTTGATGAGCCAGGCAATTAATACAAGAAACAGTTAAGAGGTAGCAAGAGAAGGAGAAGAAGAAGGACGCCGCCGTGATGGCGGACGAAGAGGGACGCCGCCGCCGACGGCTTTTGCGTAAACGAGTTGGAGGCAATGGTCCAAGCATCGCGCTGCGAAGAAGTCATGATCCCGACTTGAGGGCTCGTGAACGCCTTGGCCGCCGTGGCCTCCAAGAACTTGATTTGCTCCACTCGCATGGCCTGCACATAGATCAGAAAAACACGTGCCAATTCAATGAAATTCGAGGATAGGGGATGCACCATATATCAGACAATTCAAGAGTGACTACATGGCTGCTAATTGATTGACTGATCAACTGCACCTTGACAGACTCGGACGGCAAGAGGGTGACCGCAGACACAGTGAGTCCGGCCATGGAGTTGGGTGGGATGCGGGCAAAGTCCGAGGGTGTCAAACCTGCCACGAGGTTACCGAGTTCCCTCACCTCGATCGCGATGGAGAAGAAGAAAGAAAAAAGGGGGAAAAATATATACATATCTATGCAGTGTAGAATATTCCTTTAGAATTTATACAGATGTACAGCACAACAGTACATTAATCATTACATTGGTTTACTATCATTTCTTGTAGCGTATATAGTACCTCACATTGTTTGTGTGTGTGTGTGTGCGTCGTAGACAAAATGAGGTGACATGAATAATCCCCAAAATAAATGTACATTGAAAGGAATAGTTGAAAATATAAAAGGTGTGCGGCTATTATTACTGGAACGTAATTGGTTTTTGTTATATTTACAAAAAAGCACAGTGTATTCGGAAGATCCGCTTGCTACTGCAAAATAACGCATGCATATACTTTTTTTCGCTGATAATAGGAAGCACGTGTGCTCCAGCATACCAGTACTGTATTTCAAACTCCGCATTTTGAGCTTTGTATGCAGTGGCGGCCTTAGGGTGGGGCGAGAGGGGCGACCGCCCCAGGCCCCGCGCGATTGTGTATCGACGATCCACCACCCTGGCCCTGCACCCAAGGCAAAAAAAAGGGTCAGGGTGAAAATCCGTGAAAATCGGATCTATCAATGTCACTGGCCTCAGGAAAAGGCTTTGACTGGTCGGCGCCTAATGAAACAAATGAAAAAAATGAATGCTGTGCTGAACAGGACGCTGTCTGGCAGACGCGCAGTCTATCGGATGCTGTCTGGCACCACAATTGAATGCACTGTAAATTCATTCATTCCTTATAGCACCGAAATTTCTCTAAATTGCATCACCTATCACTGTCACATGCCATGCTTTAATGACACCCTGTAGTCTGTTCTTGGGGATTCCTGTCTTTTGACTTTTCTTTTGAAATTTTGTATGGTGGGCTAGACTTTCTTATGCAGCATTTTTGCGTGATTTGATTTTGCTGCAGCCTTCCTAGCAGATTCCTCAACATTTATGTCACTGTCACAGCATCATGAAAATTTGAAGGTGAGATCTTCCTGGTTTAAGCTTTAAAAGAGAGGTTGCCTCTTGCAACCAAATCAGTCTTCATCCATTCATCCATTGCTGCTCCTGAGTTCATTTCTGTTTTCTTGAAAAAAAATTTTGCAGCCACAACTATTTTAGACATTTTTTCTTCAAGTTCAGTCATGCTGACAATTTTAGAATTTTGTGTGCCTGTTCCTGTTCAAAGTGCCTATACAAAGTGTTCCCATTGCTACCATTACAAAAAGTCC